AAACCTTACCGCGATGAAGCGATCTAACGAGAAAAACTAGACTCATGCTTCAGGTGACGAATGTTTGATTGAAAATGGTACCCTATCAATCAAGATCTCGTTGGACCTTCACGAATTCAGATTGATGGCAGCAGTGTCAACTGCTGTTTTCTAAAAATGGGCACCAACAGCATGGAGACTGAACAAAAGCACGGACTGTGTATTTCGATTGTTCAGGACGCTGCTAATTTACATCACAGGTATATCATGAGAGTGGTTTATTTCTTTTACTGCATCCTCGTTCCCAGGGCCACACTTACTCCCGAGTTAAAGAGCGAGAGAGGAAAAGAAAAATCCTGCCGGTTGCATGCAACGCACCACAAAGACGCATTATGGCCCAACTAACGGAGAATGAGAATGAGTCTTAACAGAAGGACGGGATTTTGATAACAGGTGAAAGGGAAGTTTTCATGTTGTTGGATAGATCATATGTATACGAAAATGTAACAAAAAATTCATCAGCTAAAATACTTCAGCTTATCGCAGTTTGAATAATTTCCTTTGAAATGCTGCAAATTAATCAATCGAATTTTGCCTGGTCCTAAGTTTTCCCATCTTCCTTCCTTTACACTCCCTTTGACAAAAACCACGACCACGTTTTTCACCCATACCTTTCCAACACCCTGCAAACCACGTTTGCACGAATATCGTGTTTAGCCCTTTCTTTGCCTGCATGTTCATTGAAGAATTTGAAAGATTATGGTGCTCAGTGTTATTAATCCCAAAACTCAAACCATTTCTGAATATTCTCTATGCTCGCTACGTTACTTGTTTTGGCTGCGGTGTGGTTGCTTTGAAGTTAGCATTGGTTGTTTGGTTGTCAACTATCGTAATTGTTGGTTGGATATCTTGTCACTCGAAGGTGAGAGATTCTTCAGTTTACTGTTTTTTCCGTCTTGGTGTGTGGTTCGTAGGAAGAGATAACCCTACACGTCGAAGCGATCAAGCAAGGAAGGAATTCAAGGGTTCTATCGTAAAAGCTCACGTCACTACTTTTATTATAAGCCGACTATCTCCAAGCCTACGTAAAGCGGTACCCTTCCCCCTTCCGTTTCTGAACATCTCTGACTTACGTTGTGATTATTTCATCATAAAGCTGTGTTTCGGTTTTAAAGACTGAGGTATCAAATCAATTAAGAACATGTGCGTTCCTTCAAGGTCAATAAAGAAAGTAGTGAACTACCGCTCGACCACGCCGCCAACCGCAGTTTGAGAAACGGTTTACCACATTATTGTATGAAACGATTATTGTTTTTTTCAAGGACAGACAAAAGAGTTCTTACATTGAATTGCCAGAAAAGCTTATTCCATCAGTAGAAAATTTGAGTTATAAGTAATTGATTAAGCAACAATTTGCACTGGCTTTGGCTTACGGAGTTTGAACAAGACCAAAGGCATGGCATACAAACGAATTTTTTTTAGTCAGTCGAGGAATCATTTCGTGATCTCAGTACAGTCCAGGGCAGGCCATGAGAAGAATGATGTGTTTTGTTATCATTTCTAATAACACAAAGATTTACGTTAGCCCGCTTGCCTAAGTAACCTCTGGTTTGTACATGCACTATTTAGGCAGAGATTTTGCCTTATTCTATTTTTCACTGAGCATAAAATTTACTGCAGACGTCTCGTTTCCGCAGGATGGATAATTTGAAATGCCGTCATCTTGGACTTGCTGTTGCGTGCTTTGAAGTTGTACAAGTATAGCAATATAGTTTAACCCCAGATATCTCGAGTATTAATGTATTGACTGAAACACCTTTTACAGCACTGAAAACTAAATATATCTACCCAAGGAGGACGTTGTTACAATTCCAGTTACCTCATCTCGACCAAACTTCAATAAAAGGGAAAATAGCATTTTCAAGCATAAAATTGAAAATGTATGAACTTCTTTTGTATCGTTTCGACTCATCGCACTCTCGCCATGAAATGATTTTCAAGACGAGACCAATTTGTAATACATAACAATACTTCTTTTATAATCAGAAATTGAGTGTAACAAGTCATGTTTTCATAGAAACCCAAAGTCTCACAGAGATCCTTTTTAGCGGATCCGAAAATTGCAGGACTTCACGTTGATAGCTTGCAGTAATTTCTTTTATATATTCCAGAGGACATAATGATCACTTACCGCATTTCTCTCCTCTGTGAAGCTTGAGACGAGCCTAGCATGCGACATGTCAATCCAATTGGCTGTGGTAGCGATTTAAGAGCGCTTGGTAATCCGGTTTCCCGCTTATAGTAGTTGCCAACAAAGTCGCTTTGTTTTATAATATGATTCAATTGACGTCAGCGCTCAAACGCTCTTCCTAGTCAAACAAACTTTTTTTAATCAGGAATTTTCTCATTGATGCAATACAATGGCTAGGCAGTGATATGACGTCGCACTGAGACCTCTGGTATCAAAACAAAAAACAGGAAAGAGGAAGTACAAATTTAATTAGTACAAACTTCATCGACTGTTTCAAATAACGAGGATTCTTTGATGTGGTTTTCAATGGCGCATCTCGGCCATGGGCTATTTCTTGGAAAAGCTTTAACATATTGAAATCACTTTCAAGATTTCAATTTGTTTCATGTTTTATGCCTGAATAAATGATGATGAGATGGATCTTCAGATCCAAATACGAATACCAATCCAATGAAAATTTCCTCGGGTTTTGTAACTTTGCTAATTCAATGCGACGATGGCCGTTAACGAGATTACCGTGATTATATCGATGAAGATTAGTTTTGCAAGAGGAGACACGTGCACGTGAGTCTTAAAACTTTATTTATTTCTCAGTTATCCTCCACCAAACGCCACCATATAACTTACCAAAATCTGGCATTTCTAAGCATGGGAGTATTAAGGAAACGGTTGGGATTTTCTTCATTTTTTGCTTCACATAACTTGAATTGAAATTTGACTTTTGCCCTCCTCCCACAGGTTTTTGTCAATTCATGTCAAATCAATTTTTGTTAATTCGCTTATCAGGTAATCATGATTGCACAACTGCAATTTGATCTTCTGCTTGAGTTTGAAGCTGATTTGGGCTCTCCATTTCGTGTTTGATTTTGTGATATTTGTTCACCTTCACCTTTTCCACGAGGAGTGCAGGACTTTGAGGGCTTTACAATACAATACAATTGAGTTCTTTATTTAATCAAACAGGTTTCGTACAGCATCTGTTACTCATTAAAAAAACGAACCTGTGTAAACAACAGGAATTAATTAAATAATGAAATTAGAAACGTAACATAAAACAAAATATCAAGAAATTATTAACATTGATGAAAAATAAAATTAAGGAATGATTCTGAACAATAGCTTTTTTAAGATTACATTGGAATTGTGATGGACTCGATAAGTCATGAACTATGTTGGGTAGGCTATTCAAAATGTTTGCAACCACGAAGTTAACAAGCCATTTTTGATGTATTAAAATTCTAACATGGCTCCGAGACTTGCGGGAATAAAACAAAAGAAATTGATTATTCATCCTTCAACCTCAATAGGATTTCTTTTGTTTTACTCCCCCAAGCCTCGGAGCCAAGTTTTAATTTTGATTTATCGAAAATGACCAATTGGCTTTATTTATAGCCAAAACGTTGTATTAAGTTTAATGAAAAACTCTAAGTTTGATAGGTTTGGATCAACGCATCCGTGTTGTAAGAACATTTTTTGTTTCCTCGAGCTTCTAGATCCGAAATGTCATTCAGTCGGGCTTTTTGCAGGAACACTTGAGAATGAGTACAAAACATGATGGCCCCGCAAGAGGAAGATGGGATCACATTGCTTTGCACCGCCCAGTTAGCCCAATAGATAGTGCGTTGGACTGTTGTGCGGGAGGTCGAGATTCGAGCCCCGGCCGGACCATAACTCAAGGTCTTAAAACAATTGAGAAGAATTTGCTACCCTTCTATAACATCAAAAAATGTTAGATATTCTAGTCTTCTCGGATAGGGACGAATAAATAGAGGTCCCGTCTCCTGCAGGGTTAGGGGTAGGAGACGTTAATTTCCCACGCACGATATTATTACTGTGTGATGGATGTCCTCCCCGGGGTGGGATGGTGGGTACAAAAGGATTAGGTAAGTTCTGTTCTATTCTCCTGTCATTCCCGCCAGGCGAATGAATTAAATTCTAAATTCTAAATTTCCTTCCCGTTTCAACAGATTGAGGTATTCATCGTTTTTGGAAGTTGACACATAAAAGGAGAAAAAAAATTTTAATGAATAAATATAAATAACATTCGTAAATAAAATATGTGAGAATTCATTATTTTGTTAAGTTTCCTTTTATCAATTCATTTCAGGGCTCCAATTTCGCCGTTCTCATGAGTTTGGCCTTCGTTCCTTTCCTAGTAAATTAGAAAATTTTAACGTTTGTACAGGATAACCAATTCAATTGTTTAACTGAGTAATGACTAAAGGGGACTCACCTGAGAAGGATCGTGGGCTCATCTAGACTACGAGCGTGAGCAGTTCCTCCTTTTCACCGCAGCGAAGTCCGTTGTGCAAGTCAAAAAAAAAAATGTTGCACGCTTCAATCAATTTTTTTTCCACATATTTTTTTTTAACTCGCGTGACGGAATTTGCAAGGGACTGCTTGTAGTCTAGGACTCATCTGGCTTTCTTTCTTGGCCCTCCCCCAAAAAAGAACACTTGATATTTGATCATAGATGAGATCAGAGGTTATCGAGCCGTTTTAGTGAGTTCTTGAAGATGACAGGCACAATTTTAGGGTATTGGTTCACCAAATGGTTCAGAATTCAACTGGGCCACGGAAATCATATTATGTGATTATCTTATCATTCGGTGGAGAAGTCAGCTTTGAGTCAGAGCCGTCGTGGACCTCCCGCACCATATAATAATTATTGCTCGCCGCACGTTCCGCGTCAATCGTAAGGTACTGGGTACGAGTCTATTAAGCACTAGAGGGGGGCACAAGAATTTAGCGTACTACACAACACGTGGAATTTGTAGGACGCCATTTCTGTATCCATTCAAGATAGGCTGTTTAAGATTTGTGCGACCATCATGAGCTTCGATGGAAGTAAAGGCCCGCCCCAAATTGAGGGAATGACTAGCTTAAAAGTCGATAACCTTACTTATCGCACTACCGTAGGAGATTTGACGCACGTTTTTTCAAAATACGGCGATCTTGGCGACGTTTACATCCCGCGTGACCGCTACAAACAAGAATCCAGAGGGTTTGCTTTCGTACGATTCTACGAGAAGCGAGATGCGGAAGATGCAATGGATGCCTTGCACGGAACTATCATCGATGGAAGAGAAATCCGTGTGCAGATGGCAAAGTATGGCAGACCATCAGATCCTTATAAACCTCGAAATAATCGTTACAGGCAATCATCGTCCTACAGCAGCTCGAGGTATCGATCCCGTTCTCGTTCTCCACGACGAAGGTAAAAGCGTTTGATAAAAATTGTATTTGTTCAAAGATCTTGATTAACCGTTGTCTCCTACTAATTGGCTTTGGTTATTTAAATGGGTTAATCTTTAGCTCGAGGGTTTAAAGAATAGTAATGACTAAATTTTAGTGTTACGGATCTTTTTTTACAAGGCCCTGGATTGTTTGGTCGAAGCTTGCTGAGAATCTTTCATTTGTTTTAGTTGCCAAGAATTGCAAGAAGTTATGTGAAACTGATCGCTTTTGCCAAAGTTTCTTCCCTTCGGAAACTTATTCTTGCTCCCAGTACTGCGGTCGATGAGTTCCAGAGGAAACCCTATATCCTAATATATGATCATCCAATTAAAAGAATAAGTAGACAAGTGAAAAGAATATCTCAGTACCATAGTGCTATAACCTTTCAATTTATGATGCTGATACAGAACCTATTGGGTCCCTGAACGAAATTGTTCCATGTTTTTCTTAGGGCACGCCGATCACGTTCCAGATCTCCACGGCGTCGTTCGAAGTCTCGCTCCCGTTCACCACGCAAAGCTCGTTACAGTGGCTCGCAGTCACCAAGAAAACAGGAGAGCCGTTCTCGCTCCAGAAGTCCTCGGCGTAAGCGATCCCACTCAAGGTCCCGTTCAAAATCTGGTTCAAGACCCAGACAGTCTCGTTCCAAGTCCCGTTCTCGGTCCAAATCCCATTCGAGATCACCCCAGAACAAAACATCAAGGTCTCCTTCTAGGTCTCCTAAACAGAGAAGATCTGTGACTCCAGATCGCACCGCACAAGATCATGATGACAACATTGACGCTTCTGCAGAGCAACAACAAGAAAGTGCTGACAACGAACGAAGAGAAAACAATGCTTATGATTAAACAATCCAAGCTTTCTTTAGACTTACTTAAACCATTTATAGTAATCAGTTCTTTTAAGTATTCTCTTCCAGGCTTTGTTGCTGTTGTGGAGATGGGGAGTAAACTTTTGTTGCAGAGCAAGGAGGGAATGGATTGGGCATTCTTCTATTTTAGGTAGAGATACCAAAGTTATAGTGTGCTTTTGATATCACGCACTAGTTAGCTTATTAGAGAAAAGCAAGTTTTATGGATGTGATGTCACCACCTCCAATTACCGTATTAGTGCAGAAATACAGGCTGCTCTTGTAGTAGAGTGATTAATGCCAACACAGACCCATGAAACCTGGAGGACACTATGTTTGAAACCTCCCCTGTCCACGCTCATGGATACTTTTGTTTGCAATGTATGACCAAACTTGAATTTTATTTTTATTTTTTGCTTGCCTTACTGTGTATATTGAACAGTTACTACTCAACAATTAAGAATTAGTTTCTTCATTTCCATTTGGTTCATACATAGAGGAGAGAAATTTGTTTTAGATTTTGTTAGATGCTCTCGTGAGTTGCCAGAGCTTCTCTAGACTCAAGAAGCTAGATATATACATTTGAGTTGAACAACAGTAAAACAAACAAGAACAGCTGTTACACACTTTAAACTTTGACAAAAAGTTGAGTTCCCTACAAGAATATGTTAGGGTGCAATTGAAACAAGAATCTCAACATTGTGTTGATTAGCAAAGATACATTATCTCCGTGTAAAAATTAGGCTCTGCTTTCAAAGACCTGCAAAAGAGTTAGTTTTTTCTCTTAGGGTAATGTAATGAACTTGTTTATTGAAGGGCCTGAAAAGAATGAGGCAAGAGTTGTGTAAAACACTAAACTCTCGAGAGTTACAGGAGATGTGTTCGTAGACAGTAGTGTGATTTCCAAGTTTTTTTAATCTCACATGAATTGGTATTTTGGCCCTCAAAATTAAGGATTTGTAGGGATTGGCCTTGTGATCAACTTCAAATAATTCTCAATGGCAGTAGCTTGTTTGATTCGTTGGAGTGTTTTGTAATCCTACTATATTCAGTCAAATTTGTAATCTAGTTTGGTCTTTGGGAAGGGCCAGTTTGACCTTGTATATCAGCATTTTTATCCGCTTTCCTTGATATGCATTTTTTCATTGAATGAGTGGTTTGAACTTTCTGTCGTTTTTATTGATAACCTATTTCTCGTGATGACTGGAAGAAAAAAATTTAAATGTTATCCAGTCTCAAAAAATTATGTTCATAGTACACTCTTGTGAATGAGTCTTTGATTTAAGTTAATTTTTTAGTGTAAAAAAACTGTGAAGTAACTTAGGGCCTCTTCATCTAAGTGTAGCAGTCAAGCTGATCGATTTTAAGGAAAAATACTGTTGAACTTTTGTATTTCAAATTTCACCTTGGTTACTAAGGTGAGAACTCGTGCCTGGCATGGTTCATTTTAGAAATTTCAGCTCAGTTGCTGAGATAAACAAGGTGCAACCTTTTAGGTGTTACCTTGGTAACCAGAGTGGTTATGTAGAATTCCCATCTTAGGAACTAAGACCTTGATAACTGGTTTAGCCTGCCTTTGCTCTGAACTATAGAAAATTTTCCAAGGAAAGGGGGAAGATCTTATAGGCTGTGTGAGCCTGTTTGATCGGGCTTATTTGAAGAGGCTACAGAGAGTAAAGTAATTAGCGAGTTATAATTAATTTTTTTTTTGTGTAGTCAATTTGATGTTAAAACTATCATATCAACCTTTCCTGTAGGCGCAGTTTATTTATACTTGCTGTGTGGGTTGACTGGTCATGCAGTGTTTTGCTGTTTTCTGCTGTTGCCGAAGGAGCCCATGCTGTTGCAGACTCCTGTGGGCGTTGTTGCCGTCCAGTTTCCTGATTGGTTGCTGTTCGTCAATTTTTCTGTTCATTTAGAAATTACCCCTGAAAGCTCAATTACCACAACTTTTAAATTTTCCTCCAAATTTCTAGGTTAGGTATGCAGCTTGAAAAAGGGTAGAAAAGATCTTGAGGAAGAAGTGATATTTCATCAAGCACAATTTTGCTAACTACCTCGGTCGTAAATTGAGGCGCACAGCTTGGGACCTTGGGAGGGAACTCTCCTGTTAGATTTCTCAGGGCTTAAAAAGAAATCAGTGCTAGGCTTGTTTCTATCCAAAAGTGCCAAGGGCAAATTTTAGCGGCTCATTTAAACAAAACGCCTCCAAACTAATTTGCAAATACGAAGAAAATCCTCATCTCTGAAAGTAACACACGCACACACAAGCTAACCATGGTTGGTAAGAGGATCATGTGCCCTTTCAACCATTTACTTTCTCAGTGGCATGGTTTTCCGATGTTTAATTTTTCTATATTTGGTTAATGAGTCTTTCTTCCAGTCTTCCATATTGGAAAATTGGATCGTCGTTACCTTTCAAGGTGATTACGATCCGAAAATTCTAGAAGAGTTAACTGTGTTGCAGGTGAAATCCAACTGGTTCGTTCGTTGACATGTGTCCAACTTACATTTGGGCTGAAGTCTGGCTCACACTTATAATTGATTTCTATGAATTGACAAATGTCGCTGACATTGTAAGTCGTGATGCGAAGTATAGCGATGAAGAGATCCTTCTATCGGGCCAAGGATAGTAAGAAGTGTCGTGACAACATGTCGGGAGCACTTAAGTGTGGTGATGACGACGTAAGGGGCGGCGGAATGAATTACGTAGGTGAATACGAAGCGGGCTCGCTTTCGATTACAAGCTTAGCTATCATTCCTTCCTTTACAGAAAGAAGTAGTGTAAACCTCAGTACATCGTTCGGCTACACTTAATGTTGTAGTAAAGCCGATATTTAACCAAGGTGGCTTTCGTCAGAGGACGGGGTACAGAGAAATGCTGTCGATGCACAGTCAGTGTTGAGTCTCGGAAGCAGTTGAAGAATCCGGGATGAGGCGGCTATTTGGCTTTCATGAGCAGTGAAAGAGAGGTTAGCCTTATCGTGTGGACTAAGAATCCACGACCAGCCGAAAGAGCGTCTGCGAAGGAGAAAGCAGTGCGTAGACTGGTCAACAGTAACGTGTTCCCTTGCTTTTTAGAGAACTAGGCAAATAAAAGTATTTTTTTATTTATAGCTCTTTGTTGTCCAACATCATAGGTAATAGAATCACGAGTTAGAATCTGAGCGCACTGCACCTTTTCAGGTGAAATTCGTAGAAATTTATTCACGCGACGCAATGCCACCATATCTGATCTGTTGCTGAGGGCTGAACTTGTTCCGAGCTTCGTGGAAAGATGGAAGTCCTTCGGTGACTGAGTAACTCAAATGCATTTTCCTTTAATTCGTTTTGAGAGAAGCACGTGTGCGTGTCTGTCTGCTTATTGTAAAGCCAATGGGCTATAGCGCCCGCTCTTGTCCCAAAACTCTTCGACTCTCCAAGTCGTAGGGCCTTGGTGCGAAAGTCAAGAGATCTCGTGTACCTAGTATATTACCCTTCCTTTCCCTAATCGCGTAATTAGAAAAACAAACAAACCAACAAAAAAAAGCACAAGCTTATTTGTCGGAAGTGAATCGTAGCCGGATGTGCGGGAAGATGCACTACTTTCTTTGATTTAAACACTGGAGGCGGAGGAGCAGTTTGAAACGTGAGGGAGGGGTGTGAGGGCTATTCTTAGGGCCTGATTACATGAGCCGAGCCTGCCCGGTTAGCCGGGCTGAATTCTTTTGTTTTCACGCTTTGGTGAACACCAAAACAAAAGAAATCAGACCGGCTCATGTAATCAGGCCCTTAGAGAACTGCTGTAGTTCATAAGCTTCTAGAACGTAGGCCAGATCCGTTCAAATGGGTTTTAAACGTAGTACCGGTACGTGGCCAAGCGCGATGCCATTAAAAGCTTCCCCCTGCTCCGTCGCCTATGTCTGAACTATCGTTACTGTAATAAAAGCTTCACATGCTCGTCAAGTTAAGCTCGCCCCTTCTTCCTCGTTTTAGCGACGCCTTCCTTCAAGTGATTTTAAGAAGTTGACGCTGGCAAGTCTCTCAATACACCCGTTATACGATCACAACTTTCGTCCACTTTGATCAGTTTTCACATTTAAATACGTTTTAAGAACATAAATATTCATCGTGAACAGTCCCGTATATCCTTCCGATCATTCCCATGAAGAAAACACTACAGAAACCTGGTCCTTTTACACCAAAACAAAAAATGCATTAACCGTACTGTTTTTTATTACATATTCTGCGCCACTGACAGTAAGAAATTGCTTCAGATTTGAGCTTTAAAAGTTAACGCAAATTTTTTTAAATGCCGAGGCCTTGATGTTTGATATACCGGTGATACTGTTAAGAATTATTAGATGCTGGTCACTCTTAAGATTAAACGGTTAAGTTTCTGGAGGTAACGGTATGTTCACTTGTAATTGCATTTATGCCATTACCCAATAAAACCCAACCATCCAGCCAATGCGAGCCACTTAATTGTAGACGATTCACTTAAGAGTTAATGAGCAATTAAAAATGATCGTACTGCCACCCAGAAGCATCTTTCACTGAAAACTATCCATTTAACCCCCGAATGTGATTTGCCTACACGTGTTTGTAATCGAACAGTTTAGACTTGAAACATCTAATTAAGCCACACATAAGGTAGAGAATTCTGCTAAGAAGACAAAGAATTCCCAGATCTGCAATGTCTGATAACCTTCATGATTAATTATAACATCCATTTACTCACTAATGCTCAACATAAGGAAATGCATTTTTAATGTGCATCTGTTTCAAGGGAATTTATAATAACAGGTTATGATTGCTTCATTACAAATAGTAAGTTAAATGTTTTTCAAAAAATATATTCATTTGGTAACAAAAATGCTAACATAATAGTGATTACTTCCACCTTATTTGTGAGCAGCCTTTTTGAAAATTAAAAGTTCTTAAATATGAAAAACTTAACAAATAACCAGATGCCATTTCCATTTCACTTAAATTATAAAATTGGTTCCTAACTAAAATTTACCCAGAGTTTTATTTATCTGTGATATGGATATATCTCAACAATTGAGCTCAAAATGCTTAAATATAATTATTTGATAATTTCTGATGTAATTAAAAAAAAAATCCCTAACTTTTAGGTGGTGGTGTCACACACATCAATTTTGCAAGAGACTTATGAATTTGTCCTTGGATTGGAACATAGTCAATTTTCTCGCCATCAACTACTAAGTTTCCTGTCTGACTCATGTCTGGCTCTAAACGGAAAGCATAGGCTCTTATGTATGTCACATGATGACTGAGAACATGTGATCCATCCTTCATTTTGCCAAACAGATCCATCAAGGCCATTCGGCCAGTAGTTGATCTTACATAAAAGATACCCATCAGTCCATCACCAAACTTTCCATCAGGGTTTGCCATCAGGTCTGTGCCTAAGTGACTCAAAAACACAGGGCACCCAAGGATAAACTCTCCTTCCACAACTTTCCAGCTTGGAGGCAGTTCTGAGCTGAGGGGGGGAAGAAGATGATCTAATGGCCCCAGGCTTGAAAAATTTGCACTATTGCCTTTGCTGAACACACCATTTAGATTCCCCTGAAAGTGTTCCTGGTGCTGAGAAAAGGATGTTGCACTACATTTTGCTGCACTACTGCTAACTTCTTCCCTTGGGGTAGAGTTGTATGCTAAATTATCTTCTCCATTGCTTATATCATTGGCAGGCAAATATGAAAGGCGCCCCCGGTACATGCGCAGTCCAATAATTCTTGCTATTGTGCCAATAAGAAATCTTGTCTCTCCTAGAAATCTGTATCGCTCTGATTCAATGTCCACATCAGACACTAATCCCCAAGTCACAGAGAGGAATGCATACAACTTCTCCGTTGGTGTTATCAAAGAACAGATGTCTAAATCCATAAGATTTCCACGTATAATGCCAAAAATGGCACTAATCACATCATTTGGCTCCCTAAAAACATAACAAAAAAATATTTATTTCCTAAAACAGGCTTCTGTTTATTCAAAATATTCTTACTGCTGTAGTCACTATTCTTACAAGAAAAAGGCACTATTTAAATTTTTGCTTTTTCAAACAAACTCATGGTGAATTATTAAGCCACCAGAATATTCTCACCAATAAGACCATACAGAGCATTGACAAAAGTTTTTTCTTTAATCAAACATTTTTAAGATTCTTTGGCTCAAACTTTATCTCCATTGCCAACAAAACTAAGTGAGCCACAAGCAGACAAGAACAAAAATAAAGCCTTCAAAATTAGCATTTTTAACTTACCCTGTAGCAAATAGTGCAGAAAGACAAAGAGCATTTCCAGAACCAGTTGGAATGACTCCCAGGGGAATATTGATCGCAACTTCCCAATCAGGACGTTTCATCAGACCATTTATGACCTAAATTAAAAAACATGTTGTGAATCTAAGATGTGTAGTACCTTTTAAGAAGTACTTAAAAAGGTTATTTCAGGATGTACATAATGTATTAATAGCCAAGATATCATAAGTCAACTTTATTTACAGAGGGTGTACACATAACAGCTTACGCTGACAAACCAGTGGCCCTCAAAACTAAGGATTAGTAATACAAGCAAGTCTAGAATTAAAATTGGAACTAGCCTAACAAAGTAACTATTAAAAACAGATATAAATAGAATATATAGAATAAAAAATATATTACAGTATAAGTGATAAATGAATAAACATACCTCATACACTAAGCCATCTCCTGAACAAATAACAATCCCATCAACATCAAGAAGGTTCATAGACAAAATCATCTCTCCAGCATGACCAGCATATTCTAATAATTTGTGAGAATACACAAGTTTAAATAAACAGTGGGTTCCCCTTAGAACAAAAATATGCCAAGATATTTGTCCTTAGACCGTCTTGTTCCGAAAAAAAGAAAAAAGGGTTTTCAAAGAGTGCAGCTGGAGAAAGACTGACCTTTGATAAACAAATAATGCCCATGGATACTTAAACAAACACACCGGCACCAAGGAAATGCTCACCCATAGGGTACATATTCCTAAGGTAATAACTTAATTAGCCTCAGGACTACAGGCTGCTCCTGGGTAGTTGTTTACTGTCATCTTGCTGACACATAGACCACTTTCATAAATGGCTGCCGTAAAAATATTCTTTTGTTTAAATTTAAATTAGCCCTTGTGGACTCGCTTGAAATAATGTATTCTTTTGAATTTTGTACTGGAGAACGACGCCAGTAGGGCTAATTCAAATTTAAACAAAAGAATATTAATCTGGCAGCCATTTATGAAAGTGGTCTGTGATCACTTTGTTTTGTTTGTTCCATTACTCCAGTTGTTTCTTTACCTTCCCCCTGCCCTACAAATTCCTCAAGCCCTCAGGAGCTCTGTGTTTGTCATTAAAGATGCCCTGAGAACAGATTCACTGTCTTGTTTGTTTGTTGTGTTGTGCATGAGTGGTGTAACAGGGGATAATAAAAATGTGATTTTTCTTTGACTAAGTTTATTGTTTGCCTACAGAATAAAATTACCTGTTGTTATGGCATTAAATTCTAATTCTGCCTCAGTCAACATTGGCTCCACACGTTCATGAAAGATTCTCAAACTTTTCCCAGATCCACTAAATGGGTTGATAAGTATCAGCAGTTTGCGGGCAGCCGGCACAGTTCTCTCTTCTGTATAATACATAAATAACAACATCTATATCACTATCAAAAAATCTGTGAAGTGTAAACTCCATGGATTTGATCTGATCCAAACATTCAATCTAAAAACCTGGCAATGGCATCACAAGAGTTTGGATACAATAAATTTTGTCTGGTTTCGAGCCCTCTGCTTTCAAATTCCATAGTGGATTATGATAGCGTTTCAGACATCTTATAGCTTTATGTCCTTGTAACCTCCTAAGAGGTTTAAGCTAGGCTTCTAGACAGGTTAGAAAATAACATTTCTGGTCTGGTTTTGTCATTAGTTTAAAAATTATAAACCATTTAATTCCCAAGATCTGATTGTTGATTCTCTCCTATAGCTACTACATATTTCATTATGAATCAGTTACAAGAATTTGTTGTTTGATCAAGATAACAACTTCTGCCTTATGAGTTTGAGTATTCTCATCTCCTGATCACCTTTTTGCTGGACAATGTATGGACATTATTGGGAGAAGTTACATGTTAATCACTTAAAGGACTAGGAAGTTTATAATGGGCTAACTGAGAGATGGCCGGAGCACCTTTCATTGCAACATGGAGGAAGCTCTCCTGGTGCTTCACACCATTCTCCTGTGAATTTTTAAATTATGTAATCCGCATTACATCTTATTTACATACAAACTAATAATTCTCTCTTCTCACTGCTTTGTATTTCGTTGTGTTGCTAAGGAGTCAACTCTCAGTAACTAGCGTTTTCCTTTATCATATCTCCCACTTGTAAGTGATATTCTATTGTAAGGAGAAGTTCGAAAACAAATCTCTTTTGGAGTCAACAATTGATCTCGTGACTTGGAGACATAAACACAACTCGTGACTAAATTATTGCTAAAAAGCATAATAAATTAACATATTTAAAGTAAGTTCTACCGAAAAATTGAAAGATTACCCGCACAAATCTTTCCCTCTGTCACACGACAGAACTCCTCATCTTACCTTGTTCGCTGCTCAAATTCCTTTCCGGATCTTTGATTAACCATAAAATAGTTCGAACCCATCGTTCCGCTTTCGTTTTGTTACACTCTTCGTCAGAGGAAGACACCCTAAAACAGACTTTTTGTCTTACTCGTTTCTTTTCATACCTAGGACAAGAATAAACTTGAAAGTAAGCAGCAGTATCGCCTTCAGGCCCTTGGTACGCCTTGGCGCCGTAAATGTCAACCACTTTCGTTGTAACTATTGACGTAGTACGATTCTGCCCAACACAACAGCAGTCATCCCTGCCTCCATTGTAAATGAAATGTGTCTTTGAAAGAATCACAGAGTTTTTTCTTTTGGTTGGCAGCAGTTCAAACTGTCCCCTGAGGATCTCTGTCTCGACATCCGTCATGATGACATGTCATTTGCACTAGTTTCAAACTATTTTCCTGCTTCGCCGGTTGACCGCTCGCTGTTTCCACTCCGACTAGCCCTTGGACTGCGGAGGGTTGAGGGATCTAGTTTGCCACTGGTCAGCTGATTCCCTCGAAAAGGTTGGTCGGAATTGTATATTTCGTCACCAAAAATTGAACGGGCAAAGATGACTATCAAAATTTTCTTTCACGGAGGCGGAAAAAATAATTATGTCAGAGCCTTATTTCGGGTTTTGGTGATAGGAAAGGGAAGGCAAAGTTCCTTAAAAAACTCACTGATTTGATTCTACTTACATCTCAAGGTGTATTTCATGGAAAGGTTATGGATTATCGTTGTGAAATTATACTTATCGAAGCCAAGAAAGTATTACTTAACGCCATATAAACCATGCATGTAAGTGGACAAACTCCAACTAACTTCTACTTTCAACACACTACTGCGAAAACTTCAAAACTAGTTTCGTCTACGACCTCGTTAGTTGATGACCAGTGATGGTCAGTTGATGACCTCGTCAGTTTTGAAGTTTTCGAAGTAGTGTATTGAAAGTAGAGGTTAGTTGGAGTTTGTTCACTTCCATGGTTTATATGGCGTTAGGGATTATAAAAAAGGCAAATCCAAATTTTCAAGGAATATTCCACAGAGTTGAACTGAATAAGGGAAAAAACTGAATTCAACATCTAAGAAAAAGTTCATAGTTTTATTCAACGACTAAAATACAAAATATCTTATTTACATACTCTGTTCATTTATGGTGAGAAATGCATACACATACAGTATGAGCACCATTTTTGGGGATAATTTCTTCATAACGCCCATTGAATACCTTTTTTTGCTAATCAGGTACTATAGAGTACCGAGTAAATTACTAGTCTGGCTTATGTTTCACAAATGCGTGACTTAATAGAAGTGGTAAGTTTGGAGAAAGACAGTGTTTGGTGCTACATACTTCAGAAAAATTCAAAAATTAAAAATAAATGGTCCATTTAAAATAGAGGCTGTAAGGGTGAATTCTACTTGAATCCCCCTCATTCTTTCAGATGACTTTACTTTCTGATACTTGAACCAAGTTTGAAGTGATACATAAGCCACAAACATGAGTCTTAAGTCTTCCATATGTCCTAAAAGGTTTCAAGTGGTACACCTAACATGATCTGTAGATATTAGTAAAATTTTTGGAAAAACAGACTGTAAAACACCATTAAGCTCAATCATCCCCAAGCTTGTGTCTTGCAGTAATGAAGGACTAACTTTCCATCAGCTCCAAAACACTAATTTAAAACAAAGAACAAATAACTTTGCTCAGTACAATGTCATCAGATTATCAACATGTCAGACCCCCCACCAATTCAGTCATATGTAATGCTAAAACAATTAATAATATAGTACTTAACCCTCTGACTTCCAGAAGCAATGAACATGTAATTTATTGTTAGTATAACACTAATATTTACCCAGTAAACAGGCAAAAAGACAAAGACAAAGAAAAAATCATGAATTATAGGGTGATACCTAGATTCCCCTTCCAAATTCTCTCAAACATTTAAAAAAAAAATGGATAGAACTAGTAGGGAGGTTAAAGAGGTCAAGAGCTCATGCTCATTACAAAAATGCAAAACAAGTCCAGGAAGGGGGGGTTCATTCCATATATTGGAGAGGGGGTGGGGTGGTGGTTATTTCACTGAGCTGCTCATCAAAAGAAATGAGTTATTGTATTGCATTTTCAAAGAAGCCATTTAACTCTCACAATGCCTTCTACGCAAGGGAAGTGGTATACTATTGTGGTAACCAGGTCATTATTTTTTAGTGGGTGCTCAGTGCTATCCACTGGATAATTCTCTGCCTGGCCATCCTTAACCCTCAGTACAAATAACCCCCTTTACTAGAACTTAAAAATGTATAATAAATATTGAAGGGTTCTCATTAACTTAGGGAGATAACGGCTTGCTTCATGAAGCAGATGGTTGACATCAATTTATTTTCATAACTCTTTACAACTTACACACAGATTATTTCACGAAAAGTAGGCGGCTCAGAAATTGAAGTGGCCAGTTCTTGAGCCAGCAGCTGGCACATAATAAGAACCCTGATATTGTTAATCTACTCTACTCACATCATATAAATTCTGTAATGTCTGATCAGGAGTTGGTGCAAAACACTGACCTACATAAACAAACTGAGAAGAAACTCATTAGAACATGTATTGGAGAGAGTTATCAGCAAGAATAAAGTTTTTCCCACAGTTTAAAGGGATCCTCCACTGTTTTAGAAAAAATCGCTTAAAATGCTCTTTAAGTGTCCAAAAGTAGATTTTTCAGACAGAAAAGTGTTCTCTCCCCTTAGATTTTTTGTTTTGGCCTCTCAAAAGAGGCCTTCATTATGGTGGCCCAGAAGGCTCAACGCAAAAAAAAAGTATACTGCAGCAAATAAAAAATATACTGCAGCAAATAAAAAACATACTGCAGCAAATAAAAAATATACTGCAGCAACTAAAAAATATACTGCAGCAAATAAAAGAATCAAAGCGCAAAGAAAAAAGTACCCCAGCAAATAAAAAATGCAACACAAACAAAAAATACTGCAGCAAATAAAATATGCAACGCAAACAAAAAAAAAAAGAAAACGCTTACAAAAAAATTGGAACGCAATGCCAAGGAAGACTGGGTAATAGTTCTTAGTTTCCCACCAACACTCGTTCCATCCTTTGCTTGTTTGCCTTTCCAAAACCATGTTTTGCAGGGAACTTATGACAATACCATGCTGCTCCTTTAAAAATTTGATAATAACTTTATTTTCATACCCTTGATGAAAGTAATCTTCTATAATCCTATGCAGATCGCTTTCGTCCATAACCAAAAATGAGTTCCAGTTCATGCTGTTTCGGCAGCAAACTAAAAACTATTACCCAGTCTTCCTTGGGATTGCGTTCCACTTTTTATTGTTTGCGTTTTCTTTTTTTTGTTTGCATTTTCTTTTTTTTGTTTGCGTTGCATTTTTTTATTTGCTGCGGTACTTTTTTTCTTTGTGTTTTGATTTTTTTCATTTTCTGCAGTATATTTCTATTTGCTGCAGTATATTTTTTGTTTGCGTTGAGCATTCTGGGCCACCATACGTTCGAACATCCTGTGGTTGCCATTTTGATCGGTGTGCAAGGCTCTCTGGGGTGATGACGTAAAATGGTTGCTTGATTCCCTTGCCCTCGGTAAAATAGGCAGCAAAATGCCAAATTGCATTGCTTTTGAGTGTAGTATTCAAGCTAAAAACAGGAAAAACAATCCCAAAATTTGTTTCCACAATTTTCTGAATGATGCAGCGATTCAACGAGCTTGGATTCATGCTGTTGGAAGGACATCCTTGCCAAAAGACTCGCGTCTGTATTCGAAGCACTTCGAACAGCATTGCTTTAAAGAGTCTTACCCCTTTCCTATTTTTAGCTTGAATACTACACTCAAAAGCAACGCAATGCTGCATTTTGCTACCAATTTTACCGAGGGCAAGGGAATCAAGCAACCATTTTACATCATCACCCCAGAGAGCCTTGCGTGCTGATCAAAATGGCTACCGCGGGACGTTCGAACTGGTCATGAAGGCCTCTTTTGAGAGGCCAAAACAAAAAATCTAAGGGGAGAGAACTACTTTAATTTGGACACTTGAAGAGCATTTTAAACGATATTTTCGAAAACAGTATAGGATCCCTTTAAGGTGATGACAAACATCGTTGTCAATAAGAGTACAGACCACGCTAAGCTACTATCCAATTGTTTTTTATCACAATATTGATGTCAAATCAAACAATTCTTTCAGTGCATGACATGTTGACACAAGCAGCGTAGTCTGTTTCTCATCAACAATGCCAAATTGGCCAACCAGATTGCAACATTACTGCCAAACGTGGTAAAATAACGTATATTTTAAATAATAACCCCTTCAATCCCATGAGTGACCACAGAGGAATTTCCCTTGATGGTATTAAAAACATTTTCAAGCAGATGGGTATGTCAAAAAAGAAAATATCCATTAAGGAATATTACTTGATTTAACACCAATTCTCAGAAAGCTAATTAAAGGAAATACATAAGTTAACACTGAGAATTTATATTGTGATCTTGGGAGTTCACTAGCTAAATCATGTAGTCAACAACCCATTAGACTTGCCCCAAGTCGTCTTTTTATGCTCGTCTTTGAGAAAAACGAGCAATGAAGTCAGAGGAACGAGCGACAAAGTCGCAAGTAGACAACTTGTTGCACCTGCATGGATTCGAATTTAATTTGCATATTGTTGGTGGGAAATTACTGTCGTGACATCATGGACGGCTCGTATGTAAAATAGACAGTTCTTGAATTACTGGATAATTCATAACTCAGGATGGATGACTTGACCCCAATTAAAACTATTTCTCAGGTCAATATCTCCCCTAAATCGAAGGAAACGGTTTGCTTTCTGTGTATTGAGGCCGCTTCAATGCAAGAACCGTGGACCGATGCCTACCAAACAAAGCTTCGGGGCTTGTGAACACAAGGTTGTATTTGCCCTCTTAGGCTTCCTTGTTTTCGGTTTTTGAACTGTCTGGACCCACAACAACAGCATTGATTCCTTTTTCACGTAAGCTAGACACTTGGTCATTCATCAGCGAAACTAGAGGAAAAACTACAAGGCACACCGTCTGAATATCATCTCTTTTGCCACATTTGAAGAAATCTACTGCAAATGGAGCGATATGAAAGGTAAGACTTTTTCCCAATCCTGTCGGCGAAATCATCAAAACATCTCGGCCACCGAGGTAAGCTTCTACTACCTTCCATTGATTCTCTCTGATATCTTCGAAATTTAGCTTATTTAACCCGAAGTTTATGGCTTCTCGCACATTCATTTTGTCTCAGTCTACGCACTGGAGCGGGAGATCAAGTTACCAGGAAGATGACGTCAAATTACATGACGGTTTCTGATTGGAGAGTATTGCTACCACACCCCCTGACACACCACTGGCCTAAAATCTGGTTGGTTGGATTTGGCGTGCTGCAGGTGAGGAAAGTCTGTATTCCGCCCCACTGGACTCCCACAAAAATGGACTTTGAGAAAGTCTAACAACCCATCTGATTGTACAAATATGTACTACACTTGGCTGGATAAGATTGATGTACCACAGTCTACAATGCATTTTTTCTCAACAAGGGCACAAAAAAAAAATGGATATTGACTCAAACAGAGTCAAGGTTTTTAAGGCCTTGGAAGCATACAAACACCAAAACTTCCCTAGTGTGGCCTGACCCAAGGCTGACGTCCCTTACAACAAGCCCTTTGTTTGTAGTGATGAGTGAAAAAGAAGATTAAATTGGCATGTATGTGGACACAGTGGTTTCATTTTTCTCCATTCTCCCCCTATTTTCCAAATAACATTTTTTTCATGTACAAATTTTTCTTGTCTCCATTTGCCAAGTGCCTGGCATAGAGTATAACTGACACCCATTGATACCCGACGTTTTGAGTTGAGTTTCTGAGGTTTCTGAGGTTACTTCACTACTAAGGGTCAAAAGAATGAGCTCACCAGTGAATCTTGTGGTTCACACTTGATATATTTCCTAATGAATTCTACAATGTAAGAGACTTGTTTTGATCCATCCACTACCCACTTCTTCTTCACCATAATAGGGGCATCTCCAGCAGCCTTCAGTAAAACTTCCACTGCAGCAACAAAAACAACATGCACTGTCATTTACGACAATCATGAAATCCCAGAAAAAAGTAAGCTATAGTTTTAACAAATGAATAAAGGGGGGAACAAGTTAACTGTAAGCCTACTATAGCCCTTTTTTCCCTTATTTTCATTTTCTAGTTTTCTGGGGATTTGTTGCAACATGTTGCTAGTTGTCCTCGAACTAATGTTTTCGTTAGAACACGAAAAGTTTACTTCAGAGCTTAGTTTTCACGTAAGAGTGACAATACTGCCTAAAAAATGAAATGGGGTATTAAGGGTTTCACGGAAACTTTGCTAATTTCTTCCAAATTGGAATTATTCCACTCTCCAACACAACCTTTCTTTTTCGAAGATTTCTTCAAAGTTTCACTCTTCAGTGGCTGGGCATTATGATTGTCAACAGCAGCAGGTTGTGCTGAGGTAGATATCTTCCGTTGCGCCTCCGTCATTTCGAGACTATCCTCTGCGGTGCCTCCATCCGCCATCTTGATTTTAATGATGAACTTAGTCTCCGACGACTACGTGGTGTAATAATCATGCTCTGGAAATAGCTTACACTATATCAGTTGTTACAACACAGAATTTGTCGTGAGAACGTCAAAACTGTACAGAATGTTGCAGGCTCAACTATCATAATCAAAATGGCGGTTGTGGAAGACTTTTGTTTCCTTTGTTAGAAAGCTTCGAGGGAAAAGTGGAGCTTCGCCAGAAATGCCACGTGGAGTAAAAATTGAACGACCGGTTCCCGCTGAATCAGTTGAGGTATCATTCCTCTTTCTTGTTACAATAAATTATAGCAGCCAACAACATGCAATTTACAGGTCACTCGATCATTTCCAGGAAGAGTTCTCCGTGGATTTATCGAAAAGGTTTATAATGGTAATTGAACTGAGTGGAGTGCAATTTGGACTGAAGTCATATGCGTGATTTCAAAATCAAACGAGCGCGCAGCGCGAGTTCGCTTTGAAATCACAAGTATGATTTCAGACCAATTTGCACGACACGAGGTTCAATTACCACTTTATTACATTCATTTTGAAATCGCCCAAATACAGGACTTGCTCAGTTCAAATATTTTACTGATGCAGCACTGAGCTGGTTTTTAAATAAAAAGCGGAACCGGAAACGCTTTTACATCTTATTTTGTATGCAAAACAGAAAGACTTTGATGTCATATGTCAAAAACTCAGTCAAGCTTAAAATGATGCGATTTAGAACAAAAAATGGTGCGATTCGTGAATAAATTGCACCAATTAGAGCCAATCAGATTACAGGGACCACCAGTGATTTCAAAATGGATGTAATAAATTATGATACCAGTTGTGCCATAGGTGTATAGAATGCCCTTCATTGTGAATAAAATGTATGGCTGTTGGAGATATTTCAGAAGAAAATATCCTAACTTATATCATCTCTTTTAGCCTCTTCAGGCCTCTACTGTTGTTATTCTTCACCCTGGTTCCACCTTGATGTGGCTGGGACGTGCTACTGACTACCTTCCACAGAGCATTCCTCATGTCATTGCCTGGAGGAAACCTCCACAGTGCAATGTTGACATTCCAGATCAAACCTTACTTGTCAGGGATGGACTTGATCATCCTGACAGTGAAACACAGAAAGAACTTGCATTAAGTGTGATTGAACAAGCAATATGGTCAAGGAAAGCTTCACCTGGATCACGGAAACATCAAACCACAGTTTCACAGGTTAAAAGCAACATTTTTATTATCTATGAATCGAGCTGTAATCTTTTATACCCCAACATTGGAATGCATATTCTCCATATTTTACTCTAAACATTTCCTTTGGTACTTACAAGGAGAATTCATTTCACGATCAGAGCATCCTAGGTTAGGGATCGTTTTTTTTATTCTCATGATCTAAAGAATGATTCAGCAGTATTACTGTAAGGAGAAGTTAGATGTCGGTCACTCTTTGGGATTAATTAAAGGGTTAAGTAATGTAGTCTCTTTTCTAATTCAAAACACCAAAGTTAAGAGAACGGTTTGGATAAACTTTGATTTCATGGTTATGTATTTTTTTTTAATAGAATTGCTCTTTGTGACCTGTTCAGCATGTATTTCCTAGTAAGCAATTTTTCTCAAATATATTTGATGTGATATTGTGAGAAGAAATTACTCATTTGTGACTCCCAAGAGAGGAGGGATTAACTTTGATAAATGACACTTTTACTGCAGGTTGCAGCTTTTAATGCAAAGATTGAAGCTGAACATCATCGTGATGAGGAGTCATCAATCAAGTGGACAGACACAAGTTCAGCACCTCCTGTTGTAGCTGGGGAAGCTGTAAGTTGTTTTGTTAATCAAGGTAGTACTCTATGGTACAGTGCATGGTCATTATTATTTTTTATTTAATTTCATGAATCCAGAATGCTCTATTTTTCAGTTATATATTCTATGACAATAATTATCTCAACATGAACACGAGAGATTTTTGAGACTGCAGAAAAGAACTTTTGTAAAATCTGTGGGTGTGATGGCCTACTGGAGACCCACTACAAAATAATTTGACTGTTCAATTTCTGGCCACAGAGGAAGTTGCAGTTGCTCAAAAACATTTGAGCATTCTTGAGCTTTGAGAGAGCTTTTACAAACATTATCTGACTGATAGTAGGAACATTGAAAGTCGATAAAGTGGTAGTTTAACAGTGTCGTGGTTAAGATAAAATTGACTGAGTATATTATATCTTATTAACCAAGCGTGAGGGCCGTACTGGGAGAATATCAGCTTGAGGTCTTGACAGTACGGACCGAGTGCAGCGAGGTCCGTACAAAAAAGACCGAGGGTCGATATTCTTCCAGTACGGTCCTGAACAAGCTTGGTTAATAAGAGATTTATTACACGACTGAAGTTCAAAGGGACACAAGTGCGGTATCATTCGGGACCATTCGGGACAGTGTCCGGTCCAATACTGAGAGAATATCGACAGGCAATAGAGCATTTTGATTGGTTGATTTTAGTTATTGGCCCTCTGACTGCCCAAGTCACGTAATAAATTCTTGTATTTTACTGCATTTGTTGCAGGCCCTCTACATTCATCCAGATGAACCATACTCACTTCATTGGCCAATGAAAGGGGGACATCTGAACCTACATAGTGGGCCAGGGGGATCACTCACTGCTGTATGTGCTGATCTGGAGGCCTTGTGGGCTTATGCTATTCAAACATGCTTGACTATCCCACTGCGAGATCTGGGGGTTTGTTTGCCAATTCAAATTATTATTTTAGATTTCTGAAAAGTGTGCCATTTTACCTTGAGTAGGCAAAAGCATCTTTTGCTATTTCTTTACTGACATTGCTGATCCTAGAAGTAGGCAAAATGCGTGTCATATATGGCCTATGTGATGGTCTTGTTCACCACAGAATCTTTGTGGCTCAGTTGTAGAGTATCAAAGCACAAAGTCCGAAGGTCTGAAGTTTGACCCCTTATGAAAATTCAGAATTTTTTCCTATATCCTATGCTTTTGACAAGACAGATAAAACAGCTTTCGCTATAATTAATAGCTTTGTATGAACTAAACAATTGATTATACAAATGCATATTGTGGATTTTGATGTTGCATCTAAACTTCAAATCAGTGTTCTTTTATTTTTTAAGTACAAATAATTTTCAATTAAGTATCAAAGGTATTCTGGGATTTCATTAGGTTTCCTTCATTCTTCCCTGTGGTTGGTATAGGAATCGTTTTTCACCTTTTTGATTAGCCATGTACACCCTTACAAAAGTATGCATTTTCTCCATACTGTCCTCTATACATTTCCTGTTAAGGAGAATTTTATCAGTCAAGAGATTATTTAGTCAGTGATCATTTCCTTTATTCTTATGACTTTAATGTGTGATGCATGGGTTAGACTGTTGGGAGAAATTAGATGTTAGTCACTCTCAGTAGCTTAAGGGCTAACTCTGGTCTCATGGCCCTCAGTCCAAAAGAAACCACCAATAGCATATTAATTTTAAACTTATCATCTGCTCGTTAAAAGTGGCATTGAAAAAATTTGATGTAGAGGTAAACTCTAGAAATTGGCTGTTTGATTTCAGTCAAAAATGTTCTGTGTGCCATCATCTTTCTCTTTTTTCTTTGATTATTGTAGAGCTCATTAAGATTATAATAACTCTAACATTTATGGTGTGTTATTTTTTTAGTACTATCGCGCAGTTCTCGTGGTTCCTGATTCTTTAGATAAGAACCACATCAAAGAGATGATGAACATCCTCCTTTGTAAACTTGGTTTCTCATCTGTTATCATTCACCAGGTAACAATGAAAGTAACATTTGGATTTTAAACTATGGTTTGTAGTGGAGTCCAAATTGTATTCAGGAGCACTAAAAACATCTCCAGATATTGGGGGCTTGAAGATATTCCAGCTTGAATTTCAGTGTACACCAAGACAAGTCCACTTCCCAGAGATAACCTCAAGGTCACAAATGTGCAAAAGAATTAGTCAAAATATTGTGGGTTTTGGTTAATGGTTGTTACATGAACCTTCTGAAAGTGTACATATTTTTAAAAATCACCCACAAAGCAGTCACCATAATGCCTGAAGACATGTTCCAAGTACAGTTCTTGAATAGCTCTCCATGGAGTTTATTTGGGTTTGCACAGTTTTGACAGCTGTTTTTGCTAATACTGTTGCTTTTGGCTTTAGTTTAAGTCATATTTTACTCAAACAACCCGAGTGTGCTAATTTAGAATCCTTACAGTCTGAAAGATATACTATGAAGTTAAACAAAGAAGATCAACCCCTTTGTACCTTTGCTTATCTGTTGAATGATGATGTGTTATCAAGCCTCGTTAGTTTCCACCAAACTCAGCTCTTGTTGTAAAATTGGTTTGTGCTTTTCTTCATTTGTTTTAGGAGTCAGTATCCTCTGTGTTTGGTTGTGGATTAAGTGCTGCTTGTGTTGTTGATGTTGGAGATGAGAAGACTAGTATTTGTTGTGTAGAAGATGGCTTAGTCATCCCTAGTTCACGGTAATTACATTTTAATGGCAGGTCTTGCAAACTCAGTGCAATGTAAAATTTTGACTCACAGGTGTATGCAACTGTTTGGACATGAATATATTTTTTCTTCTTAAATTCCACTGTTTGAGAGGACATCTGTAATATAGAGTCATGTTAGAATGTCCTATAATTTTCCTTCCTTTTCACATCATGGTAGCATTCTAATCTTTGTCATGTGCCATTCTGGAAGTCTTTTCTCCTCTCTAATGTAACAATGTTGAGTGGTTGAGAAATAGATTTCATTTGTGTTTTAACATGAAGAACTTATGGGGTTAATTGAGGCCTATTCTGAAATTAGTAAAATAACAATAGCTATGAGTATCAAAATATAATCTAACTAACAAGTGGATGCATTTTAGACTGTGGCTTCAGTATGGAGGAAGAGACATAAGCAGAGCCTTTTTCTGGCTTCTAAGAAGGGTGAGTGTTCTACAAGTCTTATAGGGTGAGTGTTATAGGGTGAGTGTTATAGGGTGAGTGTTATAGGGTGAGTGTTATAGGGTGAGTGTTATAGGGTGAGTGTTATAGGGTGAGTGTTATAGGGTGAGTGTTATAGGGTGAGTGTTATAGGGTGAGTGTTATAGGGTGAGTGTTATAGGGTGAGTGTTATAGGGTGAGTGTTATAGGGTGAGTGTTATAGGGTGAGTGTTATAGGGTGAGTGTTATAGGGTGAGTGTTATAGGGTGAGTGTTATAGGGTGAGTGTTATAGGGTGAGTGTTATAGGGTGAGTGTTATAGGGTGAGTGTTATAGGGTGAGTGTTATAGGGTGAGTGTTATAGGGTGAGTGTTATAGGGTGAGTGTTATAGGGTGAGTGTTATAGGGTGAGTGTTATNGTGGGTTGGGTGGGTATACAGCGCTTTGGACAATTAGTGGATTTTAGCGCTATATAAATAAAATTATTATTATTATTATTATTATAAGAATGTACAGCCATAAGAAAATGGATCCAGATTTCTCTCATAGTGAGGGATTACATGAACAGGGTGTTGGCCCCTCAGAGATTACCTTTCCCCTAGCCTGTCCTCTGCTTCCACTGACAGTTTTTCAGTTACCATTGATACTCATGAGTGGGGACTAAGGCACTAAGGAACTGGACCTTGATGAGGACTCAAGCCCAGACATTGTGGCTCTGGGTGACCATGGAGACACTTTGCTTCCCAATAAGACTTTTAATGATGCTCATTAAAGAAGCTTAGTAGGTTTAGCTTTATTTTTAGGGTGGTACATGCAGCTCTGCTATTTCTTTCCATAGGGGAATTTTTTTCCACAGAGATTATATATGACCTGAGAAAAAATGTTGGTGTGGCAAGCTTTTTAAACAAAAGTTAGAAACAATCAATAAAGGGATTAACTTGATATGGGATGGAGCAAACTTTTGGAAAGGTTTTAACAATCACCCAGAACTTAAGAATAAACTTGAAAAGTGTAGCTTCATCAGGTGATTTCAAGGTCCTGACATTCACTTACAATGATGTTTATCTTTCTGAAATCTGTGTAATGTTTTACATATTTTATTAATTTGCATCAAGGTCAACTTTCCCTTCAAAGAGTGTGATTCCAATAACAGACTTGATGTACTTCTTCTACATGAGTTAAAGGAAACGTTTTGCCATCTTAGTCAGGTGTAGTTGCAGAATGATGCAAAATAAGAAATATTTAAGAGATGTTAAGTACCAGTTAAAAAAGGCTTGAATTCTTTCATGGTTGGCTAAGATCTAGGTGTGTAACCCTAGTGGGCCATTACTTCCCTCAGCTTCTGTAGCATTGGTTGACCAAGAATATTACTTTTCCTGCTGAATGGAGTATTAGTCTATTACCAAATGCCCTCCAACAGTGTTGCAAGTTTCTCTTTCAGTTTGGTGGTACAATTCACCTTTCCTATTTTATGCAGCCTATCCAAGTAGTTTATTGAACTGTTTGATATTCAAGAGAACATTTTGAGTGCCCTTTGTGAAGGGAGACAGTCTGTGAAAAGGACTGTGAAGGAGTTGTGACAAGGATATGTTCAATTTCATTTAGGAAAGTAGGATATGTGCCTCTGAGATAGTGATTGAGATTAAACTGAAATAAAATGATGGGATCTTAAAAAATATCATGCTGTAGATTTAATTTGGGTTTGCCCCATTTCTTTCTTGGGAAATGAGTGTCCATCAAGTAGAAGCCCACCTCATCAAATGTTGTATTTTCTTCCTATTTAGGATATTGTTGGTGGTCAAGTGCATGAGTTTCAAGTTCATCGTCCTTTTGAAACTCCTCGTTCATACCAGTTGAAGATTGGAGATGAAGCAATTGAAGCACCAATGGTTTGTGGATAGTCTTTGAGATATTGTTTATGTAGAGCAGAATGATTCTCTATAAAAATAAACCTTTTGGAAATAATGCCTGACTGGTACAAAATTGAAACAAAACATATTTAAACCCATGACAAACATTTATCTTTAAAAATAAATCTTGAGATTTATTCTAATTAAAAGCAACATTAAAACATCTAGTAGAGACCAGCATCTAATCTCTCCTTACGGTAATTCTGCTGAATCATTCATTAAGGTCATGAGAATAAAGAAATTGATCACTAACCTAAGAAGCTTTTCTTGTTAAACAAATTCTCCTTGTTATAACTAGAGCAAATGTATAGAAAAAAGTATGGAGAATATCAGGGCTCAACACCACTAATGGTAGCTAACTAGCTACAGACTATTAGAAATTCAGTTTTGGCTAGTGGTTTTCGACTTCCACTAGCCAGTTTGGCTAGTAAACAAATTGAAATTGTTGTTACAGTAGTAATAGTAATCAAAGTTTAATGTCTTTACGTGGAGCATGGTTACCCATATTGCCCGAGCCAGAGGCTCATGTATGAAACGCAAGACAACAACCCACCCATCCCACCCCAGGGGAGGACATCCATCACG